GAGAAAGACACTATCATTCCTGAGCTGCTACTAAAGGCAGAAGATCTCATCAGAAAATTACCTGGTTCTCAAGTAATGTGGAAAATAATCTTGAATAAGGGTCTTATCTGGCACGGAGAAATACATCTTAGAAGAGGTGTATAAAATACACATGAAAAACTGCCATGTATTTGAAAAAGGAGAAAGAAGACTGGAAATAATTAGTTAAAATAAAAACAGCCTCTTCTTGCAGAGAGTATAAAATATCTGTATCTTTTTATCCTCAAACCCAAAAAGCTATGTACATTTAACAATATCAATATACAAAACTATAAAAACTACCATCAGCAACCTCACTGGGCAATTGCTTAACAGCACACTAACATTTTAAGATAGGGAAAGAAAAATAACATCCAGTGGAAACTTCAGAGGGATAATTAGATAGACAGAAAAAACAGCAATTACCCGAGTTGGAAGCTGGCCAGGATGGCTGCTCTTGCTAGATGTGCCATAGAATGTTTAATGACCACAAGCACCACTTACTGCAGCGCCTTGGCCTTACCCCCCAAGTACTAGTCTGACCCCACTTAGCGTGAGATCTGACAGGATCACAGTACAACGCATAAGGTGTATTTTTTAGGTGTGTGATTTTTACCTCTGTTTCTCACAAGGCTATCAAAATGCACCACAATCATTATAATGCAGATCAGCATAATGTGACCACTAATGGTTCGTGGGTAGCATGAGTAAAATGTCCTGAGGCAAACTTCCTGTAATTCTTTCAGCGTGGGTTCCAGTAGGAATTTGCCAAGTATGCTATTTTTAGAATGCTTTTATTCCTCTTCATTGTTTGGATACAAGTATGCATAATTTGCCCAATCATTTCACTCACAGACTTTGTAATGTATTAAATTGTTAACTGTAGTTGTTATTTGCATAATAAGAAGTACAGTTTCATCTTGATGCAGAAGAACTCACATGTGTATCTGCCCATTAATGTTAATAGAGGTTATGGGCAGATCATAGAATATCAGGGTTGGAAGGGACCTCAGGAATGCCCGGCCGGGGCTCCGCTCTCCCTGGCGGCCGGGGGGAGAGCTCCGGGGGGGGAGGGCGGCCGGAGCCCTGGGAGGAGGGCGGAGTGCCCAGCCGGGGCTCCGCTCTCCCCGGCGGCCACAGCGCCGGGGAGAGGGCAGCGAGCCCGGCTGTGGCCCCGCTCTCCCCAGAGCCGGAGCGCCGCACCGCACCGCCCCCCTCCAGGTGCCGCCCCAAGCACAAGCTTGGTGGGCTGGTGCCTGGAGCCGGCCCTGAATGTCAGTCCCCTCCCCCAACCACACACTATGTGCTTGTTCTATATGAGCACATGAATGTAATGTTGGCTAATTGTCCTTTTGTGCAAAGTTTACATGCTGATATAATTCCGCATTTGATGTTTTATTATCACAGCCATTTGTAATGATTATAAATTAAGAAGTGCCCTTCATTTGAGATATTTAATAGCACAGATGTTGTATTTGTAAAAATCTTAAAGGAATGCCTATACAAAAATGACAAGCTACCATCACAACATTCTATATAAAAATCAAATGCAGATACAATTCTTGATTTGAAATTTTGCTAAACTGTAATGCTTTTAAAAACATTAAGTGGGTATAATCAGTCAATTGACATTATTCTAAATAAAAGAGAATGCGATTTAAAGTAATATTTCACTTGGTGTTGTCATGAGCAGTAATATGTAATACAAGTAAATGAAAATGAAAAACTCACTCTTGCATTTTAATAGCATAACTGTAAAATTCTCATTTAAGGACTTAATCCTGCAAACAAGATTGCACTTGCTTAACTTTACATAAGTGAATAGCTTAATTGGCTTCAATGGGAATGTTCTTGTGAATAAAGTTAAGCATGGGTGGAAGTGCTTGCACTTAAAAGGCCTCACTGTAGTAAACCAACAGATCTAGCTTGTCTTTATAATAAGCCAGTTGCAAAACCTCCCTCCATTACATTGTGACCATCATTCTGGCCTGTATTCCAGAATTTGTTTTCCATTTGTACAGCCTGTTTAAACACTAATGCTTCGATACATACTGAAGTTTACAAGATTATTTAAAGGCTCCAAAAAAAAGCTGTGAAATCTTCATTGTATTGACAATTTTCAATTTCTCCTTTTAGAGAAGTGTCACTGACCAGTTTGAGAGGTTTGCATGCTTCTTAGTATGTTGCTTTGCAGAAACCTATGCAACATGAGAATGTGGGCAAGTGTTGCTGTGAAAACCTGACGCATGGATTTTAGAAAATCCAAAATGCTAATCAGGATTTTATGGCTAAATCCTAATTTTTGCATTCTGTGCATGTCAAAATATAGTTTTACGATCATCTTTTCTTTAGTGAACTAAACAGCCATACACCATACTTTAAAATGTTGAATGCATGATAAGTTGTCTTATTCAAGTATGACAATAATATAAAAATCATTTTAGGATAATTCTTCATTTCACATACAGTCAAACCTCTTATTCAGGGACACTGGGATTTAGTTGGGAATTGGTCCTGCTTTAAGCAGGGGGTTGGACTAGATGACCTCCTGAGGTCCCTTCCAACCCTGATATTCTATGATTCTATGACATTCAGAGCAAGTATACTGTGGTATAAATGGAACTTTTTGCCTTTAACTCACACATTCAGAATGAAGGTCCCCATAGTACCATTAACTCTGCCACTTGCTGTCCAACTGTAAATAGGACAACTAGAAAGAGAACCCATCATATTGTATGTCAATTATACTGTGAAATTGGAATTTATTCCATTAAGTATATGTAATATTTAAATATCCTACCCATTCCCAAAGTTAAAACATATTTATTAAATAAATATTTGCCTACTAAAATATTATGGTGCTTAGTTTTAACCGATTGTGCAACAGAAGACTCTGGGCCCAATTCTCCTCAGCTTGCGCCTTGCAAAGTTAAGTGCAAAATGGCTCTAGCACTCCAACAGCACTGTGAGTGAAAAATCCTGGATTGAAAGTATTTTACATTCACTGTTTTGTATAAGAACATAAGAACGGCCGTACCGGGTCAGACCAAAGGTCCATCTAGCCCAGTATCCTGTCTACTGACAGTGGCCGATGCCAGGTGCCCCAGAGGGAGTGAACCTAACAGGCAATGATCAAGTGATCTCTCTCCTGCCATCCATCTCCATCCTCTGACAGACAGAGGCTAGGGACACCTGTATCTAACTGTGGGATTCCTTCAAGGGGGACAGATCTACTATAACATGTAGGATAGATGATTGTCTACAGCAGCAAAATGGTCTCTGGCCATTTTTTGTTTGAGAGATTGTAGACCTGGGACAAAATTACATTTGTCAAGGTTTGTTCATTAAATGAAGACCCTAGAACTGGCTCTGTGATCTGTTAATGATACCAGAACCCAATGGGAGTACTTCATGATCTTGTCCAATAACTTCACAGCCTTCAGTAAGTCCAAATATTGTCTTGCAGCCAGCCACATCTCAAATTACACCTATACACTCATCATTTTAACATCTTCCCATTGGCCAGACCATTTCCAGGTAGACAACTCCACACTTAGGTTTAGCTATAAAGCAATCCATTAACTTCCACATTTTTTTTAAAAACTAATGATTTTTTCCCACTTTAATGCTGAATTAATAAATGGATACTTTTGTTGGGAGTAGCAGTCAACATAGCCTGTACAACATTATTCTTCAACAAATCTGTGGCCACCTAGAACTTCATAATTGGAAGATCATTATGGCAGAGCTGAGATACTCCTGCTCCATAAACATGAACTCTTAACCCATTAATGTAAGAATTACTGACAGCAGGAAAGGGCCTAGCACAAAGTCAAGCAGTTCTGGTGCCATCCAGTAGAGGGGAGTACTATACATGGAACTTTACCAACTTAATTATATGTTCATGAGTTCAGTTATTTGCATCCACAGAAACTAGGATACTTTGAACAGTGGGAAAAATATAATATGTTTGGGATGGAGGTTAATATCAGGTTAGTGAAAGTTACTGGAATAATATGTGATAGAGAGGATTTGGGGGAGGAACAATAAACTCTGATTCTTATAGTTTTTAAGACAAAAAAATAAGATGAACTTCTGTAAATGAACAAACCTCCTTCATAGGAGTTGCTGTTACTTCTACTGAAACATGTACTATTGAAGAACAGGTACCTTATTTTAATATAACTTCCACTAGTATCATTGACCATTTCTTTACAAGTAAAAAATGCTTTTGGAAATAATGTCTCCTATAAGTAAACTGTAGACATAAGTCTGGACCCACAGCAGTCAAAGAAAGACAGAGAATTAAGATGAATCCTTTCATGGGAACCCCACACTCTACATGCTTATGGGAGAAAAAGGTCAACTTCTCAGAGGCCACTGTATGCTATGTTTTCTCTTTTAAACCCTGAATGGTTTTTATCCATTCATAGGAAGTATCTTTGGCTGCACTCCTCCTTTTCACTGTTCAAAAGAAATCCCAGAAGTTATATATTAAGGTATATAGAACATTTTATGCTGCTCTACATGATGCAAATTTCTGCAAATATTTTCTGTGATGGGTGCACCTTCTCCACTACAGAACCTAAGCAGTTATTAGCCATTTTACAGTGTATAGGTTTGACACCAAGATCTACTTCAGAGGAATTCTACAGTCATTTGATAGCATAAATAGAAACAACGAAAATGAAAAGGATTTTGTCAGTCGATTAAAAAAAATGGAGTGGATTTTTGCACTTATGAAGGAGAGAAGCTAACAACATTCATTAGGACCAGCTATGAAGTGGGCAGATGCTGTGAAAGCTTTCATGGTACAGCTCAGTCCCAGCCTCAACATCTTTGTTTTTTTCCAGAATTCAACCTCTGTTGGGCAGAAACTAATAAATGCAAATTGGTGCCAGTAATTTAGTGATAAATATCCACAAGGTACAAATAGTTAATATCTTTTAAAAATATATAAATAATGATATTGACTACTTATAGGAACAAATAAGACATACATTTGCAGTTGCACTACTAGACTGAAACAAGGGACAGCAACCCTCATGCTTCTGATCATAAGTTGATTTTATGTGGGAGTCAGTAAGGAATTTTCATATATGGTACTACAACACACACATGGCCTTGTGGGATGGAACGTTCACCTTCCTTTGATGCTGCTGATATGACAGTTCTTATGTTAAGATATTAGACTACATAGACAACCAAACTCAGTGCACCTATAGCCTGAAAACAGATTTATAAATTAGTTTGAAATGAAAATATGGTGCATTAAAAATATTGCAACCTACCTGTAATTGCCTTTCTGCAGTAAATCTAGTATTGCCATTGCTTAATTTATCTAGACTATCTAGAAAAGCCTTTGAGTAAATTCCTTGCAACGCATAGCAGACAAAGGAAACGCCCTTTTCCCAAGAAATCCAGTTTTCAGTGGATTTGCAATATAGCTAATTCGTTCCCAGATCAGATGACTATGTGGATTTCTTAGAATACTCATGTTAAGTACACGATTGGTGTCCAAGAACCCCTTTGCACCACTAGTGCTTTAAACAGTATGAAATTCACTTTGAATCTTACCAGAAAAGACACTGGGAATCTTGGAAAGAAAACTTTTGACTGTACGAATAGGAATCCCATTTTTCTCATCCTGCATGCGTGCTATGACGTCTTCCATCTGAATATAAAGAAAAATAAAACCAGCATTATTTCCTGGCAGAAATCTATTATCTGAAAACCTTAATTCAGCCTCCCAGAAATGAGGGCCTGCTACCTTTATTTGACTTTTTTCCCCAATAATTTCATTTTTTATTTGAAGAGGATAAAAAACCACAAGTTCTTTATTTAAGAACAGCATTAATGCAATGAGAGTTTGTGCTCCGACAATACTTGAGAGAGGAATGCTGAGGCATAGCAGGAAGATTTCATTCTGAAGAGATTACAAACCATTATTAGAGACAGAATCTCACCTTCTATTAATGTTACCCAATATAAAAGAAACCAGTAGCTCTTAGAGTGTCTAAAGCAGCTATCTAAACTCCCCCCTCTCCCAAAAGATTCCAAAATGGTGTCTGTGATAGTCTCATTCACAGGTGGTTTAGATGCTGTAAAAGCTTTTTCCTCTATTCAAAAGCCCCAGTCCTCGACTTAAATGGAAGTTATGAGTGCTCACTTCCTTGCACGAAAAGACCCATGCAGTCTTTTTGGTGATTGAGGACTGTATCAAAAAGGCTATTTGAAACTAAAATGAAGCTTAAGTCAATAGCAGCCTATATTCCCACTTCTCTCTTGAGACGAAGAGAAAGAAAGGACAAATGTTCATGGTGGGATTTGCCTTCCATTGAGACAGTACAGCCAGAAATGTAGGTTGTTTTCCTGGTAGCTGGCTGGCCAAGAAAAGTCTTGAGCCCTTTTGTATTATTATTCTGGGTACTTTTATTGTATTAGCTAATTTATGCCTGACTAGATTTTACAAGCCAACTGGGCCTGCACTTGTTCTAATTCAAGCTAAAACCAAACTTCTGTTGGCTACAAACGAAAGCATGAGCAAGCCCTTTTATTAGGGAATCATGGTCAAAATCCTGACAGGCTGATTAGTGGATATATTATATATGGAATAAGATATCTCAAACTTTATCCTGATAGATAGTAAACTTTAATAAAGAAACACAAGTTAGACAAATTCTCTCTGTATATATTTTAAAATATACAAATGAAATAATCCAACTAATAATGATTTTACCCCTGTACATTCCTTCATTGTCATTAGTAATAGAATCCAAGCTCCATGGAAAATCCTTGGTTCTCTATGTTAAAGTACATTTTAAAATTTTTGATTACAGAGAATACTTGGAGATCCATTTACTGCAATTGCACGTGGATTATATATGGACAACTCGGTTAAGAGCACATAGGTTCAGCTGTATAGGCAAACATATGTTAACTTACAATGCATATCTTGTGTGTGAAGTGCATAGCAAGATGTGGAAGACTAAAAATAATGCTTACAACTACAGGTTACTGAAAATGTAACTCCAAAGAAAGGAGATGTTCATTATATTTATGAAAAGTAAATGAAGTTAATGCATGATCTTTGGATACACATTCTTTAAACAAAATTTGGATATTAAGAACTGACTAAGGAAACTGAAATAATGCGACAAATCATCTGAGAGTTGGAATCTGGCCCTGCATTTACTATCTAAAGAATAAAGAAGACCCTGCCTCTATTGAAGTTAATGGGAAGGTTACTGTTAACCTTAATGGCAATCCTGAATGAAAAAAAAGTCTGTCAGCTTTAACATAAGACTTTCATTTCAGATTAAAGATCCATTTTCAACCATTGGTGCATAGGTCGCCCACTGAAGTAACCAGGACAACTAGAGCAGAATTTGGCCCTAGGATGGTTCTATTGAATCTGCCTCAGAGGACTCTGCAATGTGTTGTTACACTTCAAGTTCAGAAATGAAGATCCCCTGAGCAAAACCTTTCTGAAGCTTTAAATATCAGCATTGTGGACTGACTGGCTTAATCAGTATTCACTGATTATAGTTTAAGTGAGTTTGGATGTTCTGAAACTAGATATAACAGAACACCTGCCTCCTAATTAGTTACAACAGAGCTAGGATTTCTTGCATGTGCTTAGTTGGATTAGAAAGCCTTGTCTCATCTCACAAAAACAGCACAAACAATGGATTTTTTTAGACAATCACTGTACAATATTATACATAAGATCTCAGGAGAATGAAAAGTAGAAAAAATGCTCTGATTTATGTCTCCAAAACATCTAATTCAATACATCTCAGTACATAGCTCAATTCCCAGTGTGTACAATTCTTTTTTTTCCCCCTGTTTTGCCTGTTTTAAATTCAGCAAATGTATAATCTCTTCCATTGCAAAACATTATGTCCTCATTTAATTATATTTGGGAAACAGTCCTCAAGGCTTTTCTCCTCAGTTAGTCATCAACATTGACTCAAACAATACAAAGGATAGAACAGCTTAATTAGGGAGATAAAAAGAAATCCTCTTCTAATTTTGATTGAGAAGTCTAATCTGGGAAACACAAGCTGCTGTTTGACATAGTAGCTTGCCTTCCCGATGTGTCACAGTTTGCTGCTCAGTCACCTGACTTGATGGTCAAATGTGAAGTATAAGCTGCTTTGCCTTGCCTCTGTAGTAGCTTCTTGCTGTTCCTTTATTATCTGCTTATCTGTTTAAACCAGACTAGCTTTGACAATGCATTGGGATTTATTAGTCTTAACCTTTATTTAAAAAAAAACAAAAACAAAAGCTGGGGTGATGATGGGTTCTCAGGTTGATCCTGGAACCTTTCCAGAGGTGGTGTTCAGTGCAGTAAATATTTGTCAAGGTAAGATGGAATGGCAGACAAGGTAACATTGAAACCTCTAGTCACATTACATGTAAGGGAGAAAATATCCAGCAATTTAGAAAAGGGCAATTCACACCATGTATTTATGAACATATTGTTATCTGTCTCCCCCGTGCTTCCATTTCCCAACTTGGAAATCTATATTTGAGGGCAATAGGTCCAAAAGCAGCACTCATATTCAGGCAAAATCCCAGAGATCAGTCAAAGTTTTTTCTGTGTAGGGGATGCAAACTTGGTCCCCATATTTGAAGCAAAATCTATCTACACACTGATGGCCACACTCATTGTACTTGAGGCTTTTCAACTTCTAAAAGAACTTTTTAAAATCTTTTATAATAATTATTACAAGATCAAACATGTATATGGTGTTTTGGTTTGGTTTCCAATAGCATTAAATCTCAGTGAGGGTGGCACTACATATTATATATTATCTCCTTCCCATTTTCCTCTGGTCTTGCTCTTTATGAATTTATAAAAAGATTGAGAGTGTGAGGTTTGAGACCCCTTCTGTCCTACTAAGCAACAAAAATATTCAAATCCCTGATCCTCAAATGAAAAGACTACACAGAATATTCAAAATCAGTCTAGTTACCAATAGTTCAAATGTAGTATTAACTACTGTACAGTAAGAAGAGTCATTCATAATTTTACCAAAATTACAAAGTTCTCTGGGAGAAAGGGCTTGAGCAATTTGTACACTTTCAAGATTAAAAATAGACGAAATTACTTGTCTGATGTGATAGATTTTAATGGATGTCTTTTTCATACTCTTTATGGGAAGGATGAAATGAAAAGACACTCTTTGAACTCTCATGGAAATGATTAACCTCTAAGTGTTAACGTAGCAAGATGGAGAAATAGGGTACTTATAGTTCAATTTTAAACCAAAAGATATCCTTAAATTAAGAGTTTCAGCCTTTAATCATACCAATGCATGCTGTGATCCCATCAGATCTGACAAAGAAGAGCTGAGCTGATGCAACGTTTGGATGAAAAATCTTTAAGGAACACATATTGTAGGTGATGTAGAATGGGGCAATGGCCATTCAGTAGGTAACTCTCTTCCACCCTAGTGATTACTGATGCTGAGCCAATGTGTGCATCTGCATGGCACTGTGTTGCCTTTTGGATGAGATGTAAAACCAAGAATTTATCAAGATATCATAACTCTTTCCTAAGAAAAAGAGTGTTAGGCCTGGCATCCTGGAAAAAAAAATTCAGATACACCAATAGAGTTATCTTCCTAAACATCCTCGACAGTTTCCACTGAATACAGTGTAGTTCACTTCCTGTTCTAACCTGCCGGGCTATGTTGTGCACTGTAAAACTAAAACAAAAACAGATGCATTCTAGCAGGGAATGTTTCCTCCACCTAATTCAAAGGGTTAGGTTTAACTTTTAATGCTTGCATACTGCTTTGAGACCTTTGAATGAGAGTTGCATAGAAGTTCATTTCTACTGAAATCCTGCAGTTAGTAGTATGTCAAAACACTCGTTATCTTGAGTGATTAGGGATTGCAGGTTTTCAACTAGACCAGTTTTGTGCTTGAAATAAAAACTGTAGATTTAAATACATAGGGACTTATATCCAGTTCACTGCAGGTGACACATGAAAATTGTTATAGCTAGAACTAAGAAAGCCATTTTTAAGTTGACACTGAAGAAAATATATGTAATTAGAATGTACTAGATGCTTGACTCAAGTTGAACTCCTGGAAGAGTTTGTTTTTTACTGTTCTTACCAAAATTAGACTTGGAGAGAAAATTATGCCAACCATATGGTAGAATGAGTGTCCCATGAGAATTATTGAGATTTTGAAAACTTTTCCCAGCCTGAATCAGGGTGCAAAGTAAAAATTTTGAAGATTTTCATTAACTGATAATCTGCAAAAAAATTCAGGTCAAGACAATAAAAACATTTTGTATGGATAATTTCCAGCCTTTTCTTTCTCTTTTTAAAAAGATTTTTAGCATAAATTAGCTAAAATTTCTGCATGAAAAGTTATCCCAAAGCAAAACTGAAACTTTTAATTTAAAAAAAAGTGTCGAATTGGGATGTTCCATCAATTTCAACTTTTTTTTTCCAATTTTTTTTTTAAAACAGGAGATATGTCATAACAGACCCTTTCCCACAAACAGTTTCAGTTTCAACAAACTGCCATTTTCCAATGAAAAACATTTCCTCAGAAAATTCCCTGCCAGCCCTAATAATGAAGCATGAAATACATCTTTTTTACTCCAATCCTGATGGCCATTTTGAAGAATTTCTGTAGACAATAAATTCT